AAACAAGTAAAAATTTTATTCGAAGTATAGAAATAATAATGGTAACATTTGCTGACAATCGATTATCATTAGAAAAGAACCATTGTCTTTTAAAGAATTTAAACACTGTATTTTGCCATTAGTATAATAAATTAAAGAAGATATGTGAGTTCCACATTTCAGCCCCAAAGGGGCTGCGCTAACATGCTTTTTGTTTAAATTCAGCGAAAACAGCATTATGATCAGTAGCTCCTTTAGTATCGATAATTGAACATTTGGTTAAAATCCATGGATCATTTTTCCTAGGACGTAAATATATATAATCAATACGTGTTCCATAATAACATGTTGATACTTCTTCATTTTTCAATGTTGGATTTATTAATCTGAAAGCATCGTCATAATTCCATTCATGTCTTATTAAATTTGTTAAATCAAAACGTGGTTCTTCCCATATGGATTTTTTTCGTATTTCAACAATTTTATCTTGATAATAATTATCTGAATAATCGTCTCTTGTTAATGAATTCATATCACCCATTATGATGTCAATGTTTTGTTGATATGGATTAAATTCTTTTATTTGATTTAATCGATCATCTTCATTTAAATGATCTAAATGTGTTACAGCAAATATTCTATCAGTAAGAAATCGGTGACCACCATCTAAACGACATTGAAGTAAAGATCTTGTACCTCCTGAACATGACAAACTTGATGCTTTATTTGAATAAGATATGATTGGATAACGAGATGCAATACCATTGCCAAAAGGATCTTCATTGCATGATCCATAAATAAAATAAGGTAAAGAAAGACGTTTACAAAATTTTTGCCATTTATCATCATTTTGTATTTCTTGAACAGCAATTAAATCGAGCTTAAGTGGTTCAAGAATCAATACTAAATCAGAAATATTACTATCAAAATTTCGAGTACGAAAAGAGTGAACATTGACTGTCGCTAAAAAAAATGTCGACATTTTGCAGGTAAAAAATCAACGTACCTCCTTCTAATGCAGTTTAACTTCGCTTTGTTTCTTATTTTTTCTGCGTGATGACTAATGTTTATTCTCCGTTGAAGCGATAACAGACAGATTTTTTTTCTTTCTTTTCTATTTTGAATAATTATGGGTAGCTTGCAATGGGTGGGGTCGGAAAGAATAAGGATTTTCATATTTTCAAAATATTCATCGTTCAATCCCCTAAAAAAACCGGGTCTACGAAAATTGGTCGAACGAAAAATGGTCGAACGAAAATTCGTCGCGGATAATTGGTCGCTACGAAAATTAGTCGCTACGAAAATTGATAGATACGAAAATTGGTCGCTACGAAAATTAGTCGCTATGAAAAATAGTTGACTATTTTGTAATTAAATGAATAGAATGCTTCAAAATAAAGCTATTCGTTCGACGAATAAGTTTAACAA